AGATACAGAGCTTCTTTCAATGCAAGCTTGAGATATAAATCTGAATTTATGCTCATAGGCACCGGAGCTGTTAGCAAGTATGTCTGGCCATCTTGGCTGTCAGGCCCCGACACCTGGAGGCTGCTTTTTTAATCCTCTCTCTCAAAAAAGACTACCATTTCCACGATAACTTCTGCTGCTGCTTTCACTGGCACTGCAGCTTCTTCTACCACAGCTAGTTCAAGCATTATACCTTTTGTGTTTTATGGTGAAAGCAAGGTATCGATTGCCATATTCAGTGTCAACACATTTTTTCTAGACCCCAAAGAAGCAACAAAAGAAGAGATCAGCAGAGCTTAGTTTGTTGGTGCCATCAGAGATAACCTGTCCTGAAGAGGTAGAGCAGAACACTGAAGTAGGTTCTTGGAGGTGGTTGTGATGACTCAAATGTACACATGTACGCAGATGACACGGTAATCTATGCGAGCAAATCCAATCTACCTCAATTTGAGGCTTTGCTCCAAGACCAGTTTACAGAGGTAGAAAAGTGGATCGCAAAAAACAAACTCTTCCTGAACACTGACAAAACTGTCACAATGATCTTTGGAACGGTACCTAAATTACACAAATTACACAATCCCCACCTATCCATCAAAACAAATTCAAATGGCACACTGACCGCAGTCCACTCTTTCAAATACTTAGGTATGATATTAGACCCCAATCTATCTTTTGGCCTGCACATAGAAAAGCTTGCATCTAAACTTTATCCAAAATTAGGTGCCCTGTACAGAAACAAAGCCTGCCTAAGCCCTACAGTAAAGGAAAAGATTGTACAGCAATCATTGATTATGGGGATGTAGTATATGCGTCTGCATCGCAATCCCACATTAATAAACTCAACACATTGTATAACTCGTTCTGCAGATTTGTGCTACAATGTAATTACAGGACCCATCATTGTGACATGCTAAAGGAACTAAACTGGCTGTCGCTGGAATCCAGACGCACCCTTCATCTTTCCAACCTTGTTTTTAAGAGCTTTTCTGGGAAACTCCCACCCTACCTGAACAAAATGCTTTCCCCAGCTGTTCCCACTTTCTATAACCTCCGATCCAGTACAAGCACTTTACTTAGTCTACCGCAATACAAAAAGAAAGCGGCCCGATCCTCCTTCTCCTACAGAGCGCCGCAATTGTGGAACGACCTCCCGCACAATTTAAAATCTTCCCTAAGCCTAAAGTCATTTAAGAGATCCCTCTCTACATACCTCAAAACAGAATGCACGTGTCATGGTTGATTATATATTTCCTGCCTGTTCTATGTTAAATTTTGTATATATTGTGTATTAATATTGTTTTTGTATTTTGTTGTACCTAATGTAACAATGCAATGATTTGTGGACCCAGGACATACTTGAAAATGAGAGAAATCTCAATGTATCTTTCCTGGTAAAATATTTTATAAATAAATAAATAAATAATAATATCGCTCTTTCCTCCACCACTGAAGACTATATTTCACTAAACCATTATTTTCAAAATTCAACCACTATTTAAGCAGCACAGATTCCATTCATTCTGTAAAACACTTTTGATAAAGCCTGTTCAAGGAGAAGCACTTTCTATATAATAATTTAACCCTCAATCTTTGATTTTATTTATTTTAAAATTACTTTTTTATTGGCAACCAAAAACACAAAAATCCGGGATACGGCTGAAAATAAATCTAAAGGGAACATAAAAATATACAAATAGTGAAGTACAGCTAACACACTCAAACATGCGCTGTACATAGATGCACTCACAGAATTATGAAGAATATATCGCTCATATGGTGCCTCCCCCGATGAAATGGGGGCTAGTAATCCCTTGGTTCCTTGTGAAATTTCTCAATAATGCTCAGGACTTCAAACAGGTAATGGTAGGAAAAAACGATCATTTTTATTGATAAAGGTGAATAATCACCATCAATATAAAATATAGTATAAGAAAAAACGGTATGGTCCTACGCTTTTTGTTCTGCGAAGAACTTCATCAGGGACCGCAATTATAAGTAAAATCAATATACAAATTACAGCATGTAAAAAAACACATCCTTTTCCCCCCATCCCCAAGTCCCCTTTAAATAGGGCTAATCCCTGTATCTATTGGTGGTTCCGTGGGTGGTGTCAGTCATCCATAACTTGATTGGTCCCACAGGGGACCTAAAGGGAACAATATTTTTATGTTCCCTTTAGATTAATTTTCAGCCGTATCCCGGATTTTTGTGTTTTTGGTTGTTTATATATGAAAAGGTCGTCTTCTTTGGGTAACGATCTTGGGAGGCTGCATAATAAATTTCAAGTGAAGTATTTGTACACTTTTCACTACGGTTATTAACCATAGCAGTGTTGATATTGTATTGTGCTACTTTTTTATTGGACCTGATCTTCTGCTGCTGTATCCTGAGCTACATATCCTTGGTGGGGATAATACCACCTAAGCCAATTGGACTGTGCAAACCTCATTTTGCTCTAAAGCCTGTGAGTAGGTTTTTATTACTTTATCTCTGCTTTACACTCTAATTTTATGTTACGCACTCATGTGCTTTTCTATTTCTCTTTTATATATTTACGGAGAAAAATCCACATCAACTATATCCTAAAGTCTGGATCATACCACTTCACACATTACTTCTGGATTCAATACTTAGGCTCTGTAATATGTGAGTGCACTCTTATCTACATACCTAACCTGCTTATTAGATTAACATAATACACTACTTATACTTATATTTTGTCTTTTATATTTTCATGAGGATACCCATCGCTATAAGGACAACTTGAAGAATCTGCACCACAATATATCCTAGGGGATCATTCCACCCAAGCGTGCAAGTCAGAGTTGTAGTTAAGCTCCCTGAAAGTGTGAGTGTATAATTTGTAATACTCCTTACTCTATCAAGACATTTTTAACTTACTGCTCTATCGTTCCTTTTTGTTTTTATTTTTTTGTAGTTACACACATTCCCTAAAGGACGCTTCAGGTGCTACACCTTCTTTTCCTGTTTAAACCCTTTCATTGACAGTAGTTAACCAATTTTTACCACTTTTTTTCAGTACTTCAGTTTTAAAGAACTGACTACTGACTACTACTACTACTACCACTGCGGATGTGGTTGATATAAGCTGATACGACACCATGTTTTTCCATCCTAAAAGACAGTCACTCAGAAAGATGGCAGCAGCAAACCATCATGTGAGTAACTGGTTAAATGTCTAGCCAGCCTAATTTAACCATAGGCAAATAGTAGGTACAGAATTCCAGCCTGTTTCAGCAACATTCACTAAATGCCCCTGCTCATCTCGTATTCTATTTTCATGAATTAAAAATAAAATAACTATTAGTACATATATATTTTCCTATTACTGTTTCTAATCCTTTTCAATGATACATGTATTAAACAAACAAATGTATTTTTCATGTTTCGGCTCTTACAACCCACCATCTCCTGCTGCAATTGAAAGATTAATGTAAACTCAGCCCCATCTTATCTCAAATAGCTATATTGAATGCATGAAACCTTTTATTGTACATTATTAATTTTTATTGTACATTATTTGTCGTCATACAATTAACCTCTTCAATACCAAGCAAATGTATTGAAAAACAAAAACAAAAAAACACACACACACATATATATATATATATATATATATATAAAATCATATATATATATATATATATATATATATATTGATATATAGATAGCACACATGCGTAGCATAAAACATAATATCTTGTATGGATGTTCAGGAATACATAAAAAAAATCTTATCATTACATAATGTTTTATATATTTTTTTAAATAGATTAAAAAATAAAATACATACAGTAGATGTCACAGAATTACAAATTTTCAAGTATGTGTGTGTGTTAGTAGCTTGAACATTGTACCTACTATATTCCACTCTACTCTCATCCCTTCCTTTTTTACTTTCTGAAGTGTTCTTCATTTTTTTTCGATTTTCATTTTTATCTATACTAGTGTTCTTCCTGCTTCCTTCTTCTAAAATTGTAATATGTGTTCTTCTTATATAGTAAAGTAAGGTGGGATTCTGGTGGAATTTCCATTATTCTATCTTCATTCATCTTGCTGGGGTCTAAAGGATGGAATTACACTGCTAAGAGGGATTCATTATTTTGAGCTATTCCATGTATGTCAAACTAGGCAGTGTCTTTCCCTCACTAAAGGTAGTAATCTGAGCCATCCATGATGAAGGTGCTATATAATGCAGTTAATTTACAATCTAGAAAAATGTACTTGAATACCAGGTTTTACAAGTAGATGAATCTAATTCTAACCCTGTCTGCCCTTCAGTGTAAACCTGTCTATTTTTACTTTGTAAAATCAAGATAAATTATGTAGAAATTGTAACCATCTGAGCTAAGCTGGACAGCGTGTTCAGGTTATGATGAAGCTAAATTGCTATAGAAAATTGTGATATAAAACAGAATATTAGTTTTATTATTATCATTTCCCTATGAATAGTCATCAATAAATTTTTTAACATGTGACATTGCAGACAACATATTTCTTTTAGCACCTTAAACTAGATTTTCACAGGTCCTGTTCGTGACGGATGATTGATACCCTCAAGACACAGTGGATGTATGGGGTCTACATCTGAATTAACCTTTTAAATTAAAGGAGGCCTAAGGCACAAAACTATCGACACTTTAGTAGTTTGTCAAACTGAATTTTGTTTATTTTAATATTATTAAAGTGACTCTTCAGTGCCAGGAAAACAATTTGTTAAAACCCCTTCAGTGACTTACCTGTATCCAGTACTGATGTCCCTCGGCGCTGGGTTCACCCACGCTCCTCCCCGCAACGTCATCCGGCGGGGGAGACCTATTGAGCATGCGCGGCTGCTGGCGGGGGAAACCTCCCCATAGGAAAGCATTGAAAAATTCTTTCAATGCTTTCCTATGGGGATTTCAGTGACGCTGGAGGTCCTCACATAGCGTGATGACGCCCGGCAACGTTATAGCACACACGTGCTATAAACACGGAAGTGCCCTCTAGTGGCTGTCTAGTAGAGGAGGAGTTAAACCTGCAAGGTAATTATTGCAGTTTATGAAAATTGCAATAATTACACTTGCAGGGTTAAGGGTAGTGGGAGTTGGCACCCAGACCACTCCAATGGGCAGAAGTAGTCTGGGTGCCTGGAGTGTCCCTTTAAGAGAACACTACAAGCAACATGCACAATGTAGTGAGCATGGAGTTAGGGGTCCCCTGCCACTTCCCATTGTAAATCAAACTGTTTTTAGAATGATTTTACTCTTTACGTGAAGTGTGCCAGGCACCATTCACTACAGCTACAAGAGAGCCTGAAGCTCCTCATCAGGATGTTCCGTGACTTCTGAGCTAACTCATGCAATACAGGAATAATAAATAATACAGGTCAGAGTATTTTGGCGGTTGCCATCTTCAAACGGTCATATTTTAAAAACTATAAATCCTACAGCAAGAGCTTTATATTGTGAGAATCACAAGACCCAGACCTACATTTTGATGCATAGTATGTCTCTGTTTGAGCTGGCTAGAGTGAAGATTCAATGAATGTCAATAGACAGCATGAGTTGCAAACAAATGGTCATATTGTGAAAACGATCAGGACTATGGCTTAGCCGTAGACATTTTTAGTGGCAGCAGGGATAGCTGAACGTTTTGATATAAGATTTGTGTAGGTGGGCTTGAAAATGAGGGAGTGGTGGCAGTTAGAAATCATGTGCTGATTTTTCAGCTTTTGTCAGCTCCCACTCTAGTTTTGAACATTTTGCCATTGATTCCTATG